CTATAATTTTGAATTGTTACTTAATTATATAGATTATTTTATGAGTTCTTTTTCAACAATTATTATTATTAATTATAATAGTTTCAAATATCACACAAAATGAAATATTATTTTATTTTTATGATTTATCATTTTAGAATATTTTTTATACATATTATCGATTTTCAGATGTATTATATATTTGATGTATTATATTAATAAAAATTAATTCTTAATTTATAATATTAAATAAATATAATAAATACATATATTATTATATATATGTATTAAATATGTATTATATAATATATTTAATAATTGTTAAATATATATTATAATATTTAAGATATTAAAATTAAAATAAATATATTTTCAAATAATAATTATATATTAATTAATTAAATATATTTTTAAATAATAATTTTCGTATAATTTATTTTGTTACAGATATGATCTGAAGCCAATACATTTTGGTAGCAAGGCAATTGATACATTGGCTTTTTCTTTCAATCTACAAAAACCATTTTATGTTGTAATAATTGATGCAGGTTCTACTGGTAGTCGTGCTTTAGCTTTTAGTTTTCATGAATCAATCCTTGATGGTAATTTGGTTTTGGATGATGAACTTTATACAGAAACAAAACCAGGTGTTAGTGCTTATGCTGAAAGACCTAAAGAAGCAGCAAAATCTTTGACTATATTGTTAAATAAAGTCAAAGAAGTTGTTCCACAATCAGAATGGCAACATACACCTCTCAGTATGAAAGCTACTGCTGGTTTGAGACTTCTTCCTGGACACAAAGCTCAAGAAATACTTCAAGAATGTCGAAAAATGTTTGAAGAAAGTGGTTTTCAGGTATATCCTTATAATATTATTATAATATTATTATAATTTAATTATAATATTAAATCTAATAATACATGATTGATATTCTAAAGTTTGAACTTATTTTCTATATTTTGTTTTATATTTAAATAATCGTTTCATATTTCATATTTCATATTTCATATTTCATATTTCATAATCAATTTAAATTTATTAAGGATTTCAGCATGTCTTTGTTTGCATTAATATTATTGATATTGTTTTTTTCTTGAATTTATAAAGCGTAAATTAATATAAATTAATGTATTAAATAATTTCTATATTTGGCATTATATAATTCATATATAAATATTAGGATATTAATATTAAGATATTTATTGGTTTCATATAAAATGTAATAATTGGTATAGACTATTGCGAAAAGGTTATTAAATTATTTATATTAAATATAGATTTGAAACACATTATAAAAATTTATAAATATTATTTATTGAAGTTATTAAAAAATAATGGATTTTTTTATGATTAGTAATTAACTTTTATAATTTTTTTTAATTATTTTTGACTAAACTTTATTGAAGAAGCCTAAAGATAAATTAGATAGAAAATTATAAAATCTGTTTAAGATTTAAATTCTTAAATTATTTATATTATGTATAAAGAAAATTAGAGAATGATTTTAAAACATTTTAAAAACATATAAAAAATTTGATATACAATGAATAATAAAATTTATAATTTTAATTACAATTTAGTATAATTAATATTAAAATTATTATTAAATAATTAATATTAAAATT